AACGCCGCTTAGCGTGATGTTTTCACACTCGCTTAGCCGAGGCAAACTACCGGAAAATTGGAAGTTGGCTCACATCACACCAATTTTCAAAGGTGGTCGACGCAATGAACCTTCAAGTTACCGGCCGGTAGCTCTTCTGTCGTTACCTTCAAAACTCATGGAGTCCCTGATATGCGACGGTCTAAATGACTACCTACTGTCCTTAAATTTCTTCTCACCCCAACAGCATGGTTTCAGGAAGGGTTACTCTTGTATAACCAACCTGCTGACTGCGGTGGACAGATGGACAAGCATCCTCGATCGCAAGGGAAAGGTTGATGTCATTTACCTTGATTTCTCAAAAGCTTTTGATAAGGTTAACCACTTGTGTCTTATCAACAAGCTCAAACGACTAGGTATCAAACCACCTCTAATCGACTGGCTTACTTCATACCTAAAAAATCGACACTTTAAGGTTAGGGTTAATTTCACTTTATCTCAAGCTATGGAATGTCCTAGTGGGGTCCCCCAGGGCTCAGTACTAGGGCCTCTTCTCTTCTTGATCTACATAAATGATCTTCCTCAACAGGTAACGTCAGACTTACTACTTTTTGCAGACGACGTGAAACTTTGGAGAGAGATACGCAACCAAGACGATATACAGGCACTTCAAGAGGATCTGACTCGACTTCAAAGTTGGGCAGACGATAACGGACTTACCTTTAACACTTCAAAGTGTAAAGTAGTCCATCTGCGACATGTCGCAAACTACAGTTACAACTTAGGAAACTCCTCTCTAGTAGTATCCCAAGTCGAAAAAGATTTAGGAGTCCTGGTGCCCCATGACTTAAAGTCTTACGCTAACTGTGACAAAAATGCCTTCCGAGCAAACCTTGCACTGGTAACGTTGAGGCGCATTTTTGGCCAGTTTGACGGAAGAACTTTCCACACAATCTTCAATAGTTTCATCCGTCCCCATTTAGAGTACGGAAACATAGTACTCCCCCCCTCACTCCAAAAGGACAAGGTCACTTTGGAGCGTATCCAACGGCGAGCCACGAAATCAGTTCGAGGACTCAAATCTAAGCCTTACGAAGAACGCCTCCGTTCACTAGACCTTTACCCACTAGAATATAGGCGTCTTAGAGGTGATTTATTAATGGCTTATAGTATTCTTAACACTTCTGGACATCCTCTTAAACACCTACTTAAGCGTAGTTCGAACAATAACCTAAGGGGTAACACCCAGAAACTGGAAACACAACATAGCAAGACGGAATGTAGACACAACTTCTACTCCTTAAGAGTTGTCAAAAGCTGGAACTCGCTGCCGGCCGAGCTAGTTCAAGCGACTTGTCAGGAGTCCTTCAAGAGGCAACTTGACCTATTCTTAAGGACCAAGGACAGCATCGCACTATGATTTACCAATTTCTTTTCCTCTTTTATTGTTAACATACCTAGGTTCCTGCCTGGAGGATTTGGTGATCCCCTGCTACTAGACACGGAAGCCTGTTAAGCGAAAGCTTCTTCTATTCCGTCCACAACCATTTGAACCATTTGAAACGCTTGTTCAGTATCATACTTCGAAAAGCATCGGTTAGGTCGACTGAAATGTCACTTGAGCATGAAGCATTAAAAACAGACATGACTAATTATTAAAAAGTTATTCCTTGCAACAACAATAACCCAAGGAAATACTACAAATACTTAGGATTTACCTGTGGCCTGACATTCCGTTGAGCTTTACTACACTTGTTGGGATCAAAGATCAAATTACAAAGCAACAACAGAGCCAAAGTGTACACTGCAAAGCAGAGAATGCTAAATTAATGGTTTTGGTATTTATCTCGTGCTTTTTTATGTAGCATAAGATGACTTATATATGAAAAAACTTGATACTGATGCAATCCAACCAACCCACGGCAATTGAAATACGGAATAACCGCCCCTAGTCAGGCCGTTCAAGGTCGTTGAAACGAAAGGGCGGGCACATTCGAAGGGACATGACGTTTAAACCGTGCAGCTATATACACCGTTTATTCTTCTACTTTATTGACCACGGTTTTTGATTGAAGACTATAATGGTGTTATAACATCCCTTTAACCCTTCCGAACACCACGTTGGAATTCCGGCACGGATTATTATATTATAATACTATTGGACGCAATCTTTCTCAATACGCCGTTGGTGCAATTACTTGCAGAGGAACCTTCTTTAATCGAGTGAACTTGTTTGTGGTTGTTGTTCTCACGAAGCAGTTCACAAGTAACATTTATTCTATAGTAACTGTTATTGTCTGTTTGTATAATATACCATTTGTATCGTAACTATATTTTGTTACTCTTGATTTTTACTCACAGACGGGCACTTTGGTTTTTTACCATTAATTCTTTTTTAGTATATTATTATTAAACCAGTGTATTGATATACCGTTTATAAGCTCCTTTTTGTTGGGAACCAACAGTCTCAATTAGATGCAGCTGCCTGTGGACAAATGTTAAGAATCTTTTTGACAGCTGGGACTTTTAGTTTATCAAACACTAACTCTGCTTGCATGTTTTCCTGTTAATAAACTAGACGCAGATGTATGGGAATACTTAAATGGGAGCAAAATAATGAAAGCATTGCAATACGGTACTAAGCCCATGTTATGCTTTGCGCAAGTAATAGTAGCTGACCTTATCTAATATTCATGAACTCAAGGTAAATGACAACTGCATAATTTCTTTGCTAAAAAACATGTAATTTGTTTATTTATCTATTTCACATTTCTGACTAAACTCATCATTATTTTTTTCATTTAGAATGCAACAGGAGTGAGCCTTCACAGACCCTAAAAACTGTTTCGCCCTTGGAACTATGACCCTATGAAACTGTTTACGGGAGACCCAACGAACAGCAGATAATAAAAAGAATGCTGGATGTCCATTTTAGTCTCACAGCCACTTCCAGTATTTTTTGACTTCTTTTACTCTTTCGTTTGGAAAAAACAACAAAAACTGCAGCTTAACATTACCAACACGTTTAAACGGGGACTTGGTTTAAACCTTTGTTTGATATTCGATTCTTAATGAAAGTTCTTGAATAAATTTTTGAATCTAATGCTACTTTGTTTTATCTACTTAATCGTTGCAAGAAACTTGTGATAAGCGAGCCTCTCAACATCTAGTTCATGTGTTCAAATGGTTGTGGACGGAATGGAAGGAGCTTTCGCTTAACAGGCTTCCGTGTCTAGTAGCAGAAGGTCACCAAAACCTCCAGGCAGGAACCTAGGTATGTTAACAATAAAAGAGGAAAGAGAAATTGGTAAATCATAGTATGATACTATCCTTAATCCTTAAGAATAGATCCACTTGCCTCTTAAAGGACTCCTGGGAAGTCGCTTGGACTAGCTCGGCAGGCAGCGGATTCCAGCATTTGACAACTCCTAAAGAGTAGAAGTTGCGTCTACAGTCCGTTCTGCTATGTTGTCTCCAGTTTTTGGGTGTTACCTCTTAAGTTAGTGTTGGAACCAAGCTTAAGTAGGTGTTTGAGAGTGTCCAGAAGTGTTAAGGATACTGTAAGCCATTAGAAGGTCACCTCTAAGACGTTTATACTCTAATGGGTAAAGGTTAAGTGATTGGAGGCGCTCTTCATAAGTTGATTTGGTGCATATCTTCGTCATTTTCTTGAGGAGCCTACAGACTCGAGTCCTCTCACAACTTATTCTAGCCATCATGAGTTGCCACGGCAACTGATGGATGGACACGCGTCACACATCCCAACCGTCCCTGCGTCTAATCCCATAGCTTCTTATTCAAATGTCATATGATAAGCAAGTAATGTCTCTACCGACACTAATGGAACACGAGTAACTCGAAGGCACCCTGTATGGTACCTTACATTGGTCTACGCACTCACTTAGCTCTTTAGTGAGAATATTATTACAGTCGTGCTAAAAATCCCATGAAACCCCTACCTCCATCAAAACAAATAAGTCTGTATTTGCTGCATATAGCAATTTTATTCTTCAGAAGTAAAATATAACAGTTAGAATTACAGTAAAATGGCAGTATCCAGCAGATACACGTGGTACATATCTTCATCGATTAACTGAAATATGTTTGACATCATAAACGATGGAATTAGCTTGATGCAATTACCGAACATTATGTTTTACACTTTCAAAAAGAAATAACTACCGAATTCTTTAGGTTTAAAATACACATCGATATGAGTGTTTTCATTAATTCTAGATTAGCATATCATCAAGTCCCTATTACTTATCGAAATTAAACAGAAACACACAAATATATCAGGTTAATTAATGCGTCGAAGAGCGTCTTGATGTGATGTTATTTTCACTATTTCCTGGAAAATCATTTACTTTCCAGTGGTGAATTATGACTAGTTATCTGTTCTGTGCATTTTACAGTTATCATGTAGATTAGACTGAAACACGACTAACCTGTATGTAACTGGATGTGGATATATGTCCATACTAATTATATGCTCATGGTATGTTTCTTCAAAATATTGCATATTTACGTTAGTGTTGTAAACTCGGTGAAAAAATACCGACCTTTGAATTTGATTTGTCAATATCAGAATGTGTTACTCACCGTCATCATTCAAAATTTCTCTACATTTTGCTTGATCTCAGCTCTATTCGCTTTTGAGTTTATCATCACTCTCTCAATAAGATACTTGAGTACATACAGTTAACCCATGATATATCGATTTCCGCGTGTCAGGCTTCGAGTTTTATTATGCTGACCAGATACTTGTATTACGTGCATGTCGGTATTTGTTATATTCAGTTCTTTTATAAGCACAACTTCTTTTGTGACTTTCAGTGTAAATGTTCGTTCCATAGTTTAAACTGTCTAAATTCTTATCACATTTCTCAGATATGATTTGGCTACACGAGTTCGCGCTTTGGTCAAAACAGATTTAGATATCCAAATCAGTATGGATGCTGTTAAGTATCATTTGAGTCATTTTATGGATTCGCGTAAAACACTGTGTGATCGATTGCGCACGATCGAAGCCAGAATGGAAAGTTGCCGACAAGATGGTAAACCTTATGATATGTATATTGAAGAAGTGAACAGTCTAACTGAATCGATTCAATGTCAAACACAAGTGGTTAGCGATTTGCAACAAAAACTTATGGATGCCGGTGAAATATCGTCGACAGATGCCTCCGGTCTACCTGATTCGACTGGTCAAATACTCTCATCTCGTTTATCCCAACTACACAGCATCCAAGAGGCACGAATAGCTTTGAAATATCTATTCAGACAAGTAGGTTGTACTTTTTATTCTTTTCTAACCAGACTGACCAATTGATGAATCTGTCCAAATTGTCAAGCTACATTTGAATATAAGTAGTCACTGGGTAGACATATAACAACATACGTCCGTGCTATATGGTTTATTAATTTAATGATGTAAGTTACAGCAGAATGTCGATTCTGTAAACAGGCTTCGCAGAGTAATGGCAATAGGATATGAATTCCACTTATTTATTCTCTATAAAAATGTAGTGATCTGATTTGACTAGTCAACAGTTCTTTATTTTGCTTATTCTTGCTCTTTTTATTTATTTCATAGGCATCGTCATCTGAAGTTTCTAAGATTAATTTAGAAACTCAAATATGTGAATTGCAATCCCAACTGAATGCAGAGAAACGAAAATCTGAGGAGAATGTAAGTTGGAATGATAAGTTTTCCACTGAAACACTAGTACTCGAATGCATTTGTGAAGTTCTTAAGTCGACGTAAAAATCCTATACCATATGTGCCTTGTTGAAGGGGAGCGTTATCCAGTATGCGACTACACAAATAAATTCGATTAGCATAATTTTAAAACTTGTGTTTGAAGAGATCACGACATCGCCTAGAAATCGGCGAACGGAACGAAGTATCAATGACACTACAATGCGTCCCAGCCGGTATATTTACAGGTCCTTCTGCTTTCCCACTCTTGATTTGTTCGGTCGTTGATGGAGTGACATCCACAGGAAGGTCTGTGTGTGCTGCTTCGATCTCCAATGGGCTCAATGGAGCTGGCCTATTGAAGAGTTCCTTGAAGTGTTCCACCCATCTGTTCCTCTGTCCTTGAATTTCAGTGATGGGGTTGCCTTCTCTGTTCTGAAACGGTCTCCCTGGTTTACTACATTTTCGTGCCAGTTTCTTCGCTTTGTCATATAGTTGTCCGATATTTCTTTATGTTGAAGCTGTAGTTGTCAGATCTTCTATGTGTTTCTGATTGTCAGCCCAAATGTTCATTTCCAATCGGTTGTTTGTTTCTGTGCATTCAGCTTGTGCCTTCACTGTCTCTGTCCTTGTTCAGCTGTTGTTGATTTCTGTCTTTTTGTTCTTCCGTTCTTGAATCTTGTCCAGGGTTTCGATAGTGATCCATTGATTATGATGATACTTCTTGCGATCCAGAACCAGCTGACACATTGAAGTTAATGCTTCTTTGATCCGTTTCCAGTTATCCTCCATCGTAGTCTGATCCTACTAAACCAGAGCTTTGTTGAATTGTTTGATTTTGTCAGTATGTCGAGGGAAGGCTCTATTGAACCTTTGTAATTGTCCTTCTCCAGTTGTCAAGCATTTCGTTAACTTCAGTTTTCTCTTGGTTACAAGTAGGTGGTGATCTGATAACATCAACCTCTCTGCTTGATGTTATGTCTTCCATTGATATTGTGAATTTTTTAGTGATACAAATATGGTCAATCTGGTTCTGTGTGGTGTGATCCGGTGAGACCCATGTAGCTTTGTGTATGCGTTTATGCATGAATATAGTACCGCTTATGACCATTTTGTTGAATTCAAAAGTTTTCGTTTCTCTCTCCCAGTCTATTTCGTCCCAGGATATTTCCATATCCAGTGTTATCTATTCCGACTTTGGTGGTTAGGTCTACTGTCGGGATGGTGAGATCCTTTCTTAGGCGCTTCGCTATGATTGATTGCAGCCTCTCATAGAACTGATCTTTATGGTCGTTGTTGCAATGATCGGTGTGTGCATATCCTTGGATGAAATTCATTATGATTCCCTCCTTCTTTGTTTTGAAGGACATTTTGATGATTCTGGATCCTTGAGAAACCCGTCCTATAAATGCATTACGTACTTCTTTTGACAGCGTCAGAGCGATTCCCTGAGTGTTAAGGGAATTATGTTCTTCGTGACTGGAGTACAGAGGTATCTCTCCCGTTTCCAGCTTTTTCTGTCCAGCTTGTGTTCATTGTTTTGCACTGGTTCCGAAAACCGTCAAGTTGTATCTTCGAGGATCCACAAATATTTTACTAATACTTCCGGTCTCCCACATTGTCCGAACATTCCATGTTCCTATATTAATTGTTGCTGTGGTTGTTAGAAGGGACATCAGCTTTGTGACTTCCGAAGAATGTTGGATGTAACCATGAGATTTCATAATTCTTCCTTGAACTAGGAGGATATTGTTTGAATGGTTTAATTTGTTTGTTTATGTTGGCGTATTTTTAGCAAAGTTGTTTTCTATGGGATGGGGTTGTTGACCCCTTTAAGCGTGTTTGGGATCGGCAGTAACCCTAAAATAGGTACAAACGGAGTTATTAACTGGAAAGACGATACTATTATTACGAAATCATATGAAGTGCATTGATAGCCCCGAACTCATGAAGTGTCTGCCATGTTTGTACACAGTTATTTGTAATACCGTACGATGTGACAGCTATTAGCTGTGTCTAATTTACAATGGTAGAGTCTCAAAGTAAGAACGAAGAACACCAAAGTATGGAATCTTTTACAGTATGATAGGGTTTAACAGAAACAATCGGAGTAAAAATATCTATTCCAAATGTCACGAAGATATAGTTACCATAATCAATGGACTGAATGCCATCAGTTTATGTAAATTCTCAGGAACGTTATGATTGCAGACGCATGTCCCATTATACTTCCAAAAGTTATTGGAAATGAAATGGGTTACTGAATATTGATAAGTAGTATATAGCAATAGGGTGGAATGGAAAGATAAAGATGTCATTGTAAATGACGTCTGACCACCACTAAGAGAGCAAAACTCATACATTGTCCCCCAACATCATATAAACTACTGTGTCACATCCTAATCTACATGTTTATGTAGATACCCATTAGGGTATGCAGTTGTCAGTGTAATAGAAAGTACTTTGGATTAATTTCTCATTACCAAATTCTTAGATAACCATGCTTCTCCATGGCTGAAACAACTTTATAATTTAGGAGAACGCATTCTTTCATTTTCGACAGCTTTGTCCTAATATCACACCTTTGGTAGTTATCCTCACGTGTTTTTAATATCTTTCCTAATTCTTGGTAAAATTTAAACATAAAGTGTCCTGATAGTACGTGACTATCGTTTAAAGTAGTGCTCGAGGTTGGTCATCATCATCATCACCACCACCACTTAGGTTTGGTGCTGTATTTATAATCAACTGCATGTAATCGGCTGGCAAACGTGAATGCATCTTTCTAAGATGTCATACTTCATTTCATCTGAGGAAGTGAAAAAATTATCTGAATGTCAACACGGTCTTTGAAATTAATAATAAATGCTGTTGAATAAGACAAGTGAAATATCACAACAGTAACTATGAAATAATATTAAAATGCCAAGATTTGACGGAGAAGAGAACAGAACAACTACATCTGTTCCATTGCGATTGATTTCAAATTTATGGTGTTCATTGATAGGTATCGTTTTTGATGCGAAACTCTGAAAAATGATATCTTTCTCATCCAATACAGTCTCAGCCTAACAGTCAGTGGCAGATGCTATTCATTGGTCCAATCATATTAAACTTCTTTCTCAATCTACTCAAGTGTCGTACAGTTGATGGCTGGACATGCCTGACACATTTCAGGCACACCAAACGGCTCAGATTCCCATTCTAATCACTCGATTTATTATTCTCTTAATTAAACGCCTTTATTCCACTCTCAGTTTATCATTCCTTGTTGCAAAAACATTTGTAAGGAAACACCAACCATCTTTACTAGTCTATTCACGTACTTACTAATGTCTTGTCCTTGTTTGTTCATGTCTAGATGAAAGACATTCAATCTCGTCTTCAATCTGCTAATGAAGACATTGACCAATTAAAAAAAGAAAACGCTGAATTACGAGAAGTTTCGAAAATTCAGCGCGATAATTAAATGACAATAAGATCATTGATTACAGTAAGTTTACTAAGAGTTTTTACTCATGAGCAGATAGTTTATTATTGTTAGTAGTGAACATTTCGTTGTCAAAGTTATGAATGGTCTGGAAATACAGTATTGATAATATTTTTTTCCTCAAAACTCAGAAAGACAGTGAAATGTTTAAAGCACCTTCGAGCTAATCAGTATCTTGTGTAAACATTCTTATTAAGTGGGATACTTCATGTATTTTTCATCTTACTCAAACTGTGCATCTAAATGTCATCTGCGATTATTCATCAATTTCCACAAAATCCGTGTAGCAACAATAATCCTGTGCTCACTGGTGAGAAGTTATGACTGGTGAAGTCCAACCATGCTGATATCGAGACAGTTATCCACGACAGGCAATAGAAGATAGTCATATACCATAAATCACTCTGGCCTCATATTGCACCATGTATCAATCAAGTGCATATTTTGTTTAATAAGCAAAGGAACTAAGATCATCAATACCATTTAACAATATTTAGGCTACACTACACTTATCCTCCTGAGAATACTTGTCATTTATAGTATAATGGATCATTGAAAGTATCGCCAAATATCTTTATGAACTTGCTTCTTCCTTTGTGAATGCTAAGCACCATTTCTATTGATGCCACCTCTATACTGGCTGTGTTCGCCTAAATTTATTGCTAGGAGTGGGATAATAGTAATTGGTCATCTACAAAGTCTAAGGTGTTCACTGTATTCCGTGCATCCCCAGATATGTTATGGTCTTCATAGTGCAGTCAGCAGCTGGAAAAAAAGAAGAAAAACGAGAGTAACCAGTCTTGTCTGACACTGGTCTTCACTTGAAATACATCTGTGAGCTACCCTCCCTGCACAATTTCGCAATTCAGTACTTCGTATGAGTTCCGTATAAAAATGAAAATCTCTTCAGGCACTCCATATTTTTGAAAAAATCCACTCTTTTGTATCCTTTCTCATAATCAAGGAAGTTACTGTACAGCGATGAGTTCCATTCGATTGATTGTTCAACATTGAGTTGTACTATCTCGATTCGGCCCGTACGTAATCGATACTTATAAAAGTCTTCACGCTGGTCTCTAGGTTGAGTTACTACTGAATCCTTCGCTCGTTTCAGTTACGCTCTGTTGCAAACTTTGCCTGGCTTTGACAATGGTGTAAACCATTTGTGGGAAGCATCGTGTGCTTCATGACCATAATAAGACAACACCTTTTTTAAAGTTTGTCTTTTCTACCCAGACTATATTCAATGGGTTTCGCTTCTTCCAAATACAGCCAGATTGTTTCCGTTTCTCACATTGTCCAAACATTCCACGTTCATTTATTCGTCATTGTTTTCGGTTGTCAGAAAAAGCGTCGGCATCTTGGCTTTCGAAAAATCTCGACTTCCCTAATTCGACACTATAAATCTTCTATATGAAGACTCATCAAGTCACAGCTGAAGGTCTAATTAGTTTTCTGTGGTTGGCGTTCTTTTCAGTAGACTTATTTTTCACAAGGTAGATTCGTTAAGCTTACGGTCAACTGTGGTTCTAAAGGACCGGGACTAGCTCTATGCGGACTTACTTATACTCAGTATCATTAAATATTTTGGATAATTTCAGTTGCTTGATTAATATTCTTATTTGTTCATCTTTTTTTCTTTAGAATAGTCCGTTTACTACGGATGACGAATTTAAAAATGTTGAAGCTGAATGCAGTTTACCTTTTACGGTAGTGACTGATAATAATGTGAGTACATGTGTAATGTTCACTCTCCTCTTCATCGCCTATCATATTAATCTGGATAGCCAGGATTTTTTTGTACTGTCGATATATTGTAGAATATGGGTACAAACCTAGGTAGAGATAGTTGAAATGATTTGGCTTTTATCTAGAAAACCAATAAGCAAACTGAACAACTGTTTTTTCTTAGTATGTAATCTTTAAGTAGTGTACATATATTATACTTTCAAGAATCAAATCGTAGACCGTCAACTCGTAGCAAGTATTTAATCTTTAGGAGTTGATGAATTCAGTTAGTTTTAATCGATGTAGACTCAAATACAGATTCGCTTTGGTCCATATTTTCCTACTAAATCAACACTGTGACAAAATTAAGTCGATAAATAGCTAAGTAATTGATGTCATAGTAGTAGTAATGATAGTATGAATGACAACATGTTGGACATATGATTCTCAAAGGAGGAACATATGGAGGAACACTGAAAATAAAGATGGAAAGGAAGATAAGTAGTAAGTGCATCTGTGCCACTGTATTGAACTTTACACTATATCACCCTGTTCTTCCAACCATTGGTCACGATAATCACGCAGGCCCCGACTACTGACTCCCTTTAGGCGAGACGTTGGTGAGTAGAGTAATAGACTGAAAGAATACCAACTCTCCACATCGAGATGAGGAAACGATTTCTGAAGCTATTGGCTGTTGGGTTGATCTGGTTCAGAAGTGATCAGTCCCTCTGAATCGATTCAATGTCAAACACAAGAGATTAACGGTTTGCGAAAAAACTTATGGATGCCGGTGAAATATCGTCGACAGATGCCTCCGGTCCACCTGACTCGACTGGTCAAATGCTCTCATCTCGTTTATCCCAACTACATAGCATCCATGTAGGTTGTACTTTTTATTCTTTTCTAACCAGACTGACCAATTGATGAATCTGTCCAAATTGTCAAGCTACATTTGAATATAAGTGGTCACTGGGTAGACATATAACAACATACGTCCGTGCTATATGGTTTATTAATTTAATGATGTAAGTTACAGCAGAATGTCGATTCTGTAAACAGGCTTCGCAAAGTAATGCCAATAGGATATGAATTCCACTTATTTATTCTCTATAAAAATGTAGTGATCTGATTTGACTAGTCAACAGTTCTTTATTTTGCTTATTCTTGCTCTTTTTATTTATTTCATAGGCATCGTCATCTAAAGTTTCTAAGATTAATTTAGAAACTCAAATATGTGAATCGGAATCCCAACTGAACGCAGAGAAACAAAAAGTGGAAAATTTACTTCAGACTACAGAGCATTATTCTGTAGAATTACTGAAGTGTGAGGAGAATGTAAGTTGGAATGATAAGTTTTCTACTGAAACACCAGTACTCGAATGCATTTGTGAAGTTCTTAAGTCGATGCAAAAATCCTATACCATATGTGCCTTGTTGAAGAGGAGCGTTAGCCAGTATGCTACTACACAAATAAATTCGTTTGGCATAATTTTAAAACTTATGTTTGAATTGATCACAGCATCGCTGAGAAATCGGCGAACGGAACGAAGTATCAATGACACTATAATGCGTCCCAGCCGATATATTTACAGGTCCTTCTGCCGCCACGAGAAGGCAGTGAGTAGGACTTCTCTGGCAGAAGCTATATACGCGTGGCCATGTGAGAGCATTTCGAGAGGGAGAGCGAACTCTCCCCACTCTCGGCCGTACCAGGGCCTTTGGAGGCTCATAGAATTTGTACCTCTGACATGGTGGAAAAAGATGAAAAGTCACTGACTGATACATTAATAGCAAAAGCGCAAAAGTCAGTTGATGCCAAGACCTCTAATTTATTCAGTTCCAAAGAAAAAAAGTTTATATCAATCTACCATATAGAAGCGAATCCAACAGCATAGTTTTAAGACAGAGATTGAAAGCAGCCATCGAGAATACCTATCATTACAATTTCTTATTCTTTCTCTCTCCCTTTGTTACTCTTTCACTTGGACTTTCATTTAATTGACCTTTATTAATTTTCATATAAAAAAATGCCCTGACAAGTATATGTGTGACCAGATTGTTCGAATGTATAGAGCAAATACATCACATTTTTCAGATTAAATCCGTCTTCTCATTGTTCTATCGAAATTTATAAAAAAGACTAATTGCATTAGAATTCTCTTAGATAAACATTTCCATGACTCTTATGAAGAACTCAATAAAAAACTACAGTAGAAATGCTATTGGCTTCTATCATCAGCTAATTCAGGTAACGCCTTAGACCACCCTAAACAGATTTCTTTCTAGTTATGGCTCATATACTATTTGGTAGACTAACTACTAGTGTTGAACCTGACTCGTCTTGGTAATTGGTTGAAACTGAAGCAGAGGCTCATTTTAGTATACCGATCCGTTTAGGATGAGACATTGACTGGCCACCAAATCACAAGATGAGCTTGGTGAGAATTAAACAACAACCAATAGAGATAGGCACTTTAGGAGTGTGCGTTTCGTACACAGATATGCCAGTGATAGCCGGTCGTGATGTAAACAATCTATGTTCAGGCTGGGATGACACCTCAAGGTAAAGACATCGACTAAAACGGTACCGCAAGTTGGTGCTGATCAGGAAAGGGTTGAGTCAGTGCACAGCTGCAACTGGAGATTACTGTTATCTGACCTGATAATTAACAAGCCACCAATAGCAACCGAAGCGATTTTTATTTAACTAGAGACCCGTCCTGTGCATTTAAATCTCCGATCAACACTATAGAAACCATCAAATACGCTTTTTTGAGATCATCTAATTCGAAGTAAAACTCATACATAGTCACGTCCGGGCTGTAATCCGTTGTCACTTTCATAAAATCCTATTGGGAATCCATAATCAGTGAGAGCAGTGAAAATTTAGACCGGTCAGTAGTTTGAGTTTGTTTAGAAATTTTATCATAAGCAAGCTGCCATATGAGCTGGGAAATAAGAATTAACATTGAATGAGAAAAAGCACTTGAAATCATAAAGATCAGTTCTATGAGAGACTGCAATCAATCATAGCGAAGCGCCTAAGAAAGGATCACACCATCCCGACAGTAGACTTAACCACCAAAGTCGGAATAGATAACACTGGATATGGAAATATCCTGGGACGAAATAGACTGGGAGAGAGAAACGAAACTTTTGAATTCAACAAAATGGTCATAAGCGGTACTATATTCATGCATAAACGCATACACAAAGCTACATGGGTCTCACCGGATCACACCACACAGAACCAGATTGACCATATTTGTATCACTAAAAAATTCACAATATCAATGGAAGACATGACAACAAGCAGAGAGGTTGATGCCACCACATCACCACCTACTTGTAACCAAGAGAAAACTGAAGTTAACGAAATGCTTGACAACTGGAGAAGGACAATTACAAAGGTTCAATAGAGCCTTCCCTCGACATACTGACAAAATCAAACAATTCAACAAAGCTCTGGTTTAGTAGGATCAGACTACGATGGAAGATAACTGGAAACGGATCAAAGAAGCATTAACTTCAACGTGTCAGCTGGTTCTGGATCGCAAGAAGTATCATCATAATCAATGGATCACTATCGAAACCCTGGACAAGATTCAAGAACGGAAGAACAAAAAGACAGAAATCAACAACAGCTGAACAAGGACAGAGACAGTGAAGGCACAAGCTGAATGCACAGAAACAAACAACCGATTGGAAATGAACATTAGGGCTGACAATCAGAAACACATAGAAGATCTGACAACTACAGCTTCAACATAAAGAAATATCGGACAACTATATGACAAAGCGAAGAAACTGGCACGGAAATGTAGTAAACCAGGGAGACCGTTTCAGAACAGAGAAGGCAACCCCATCACTGAAATTCAAGGACAGAGGAACAGATGGGTGGAACACTTCAAGGAACTCTTCAATAGGCCAGCTCCATTGAGCCCATTGGAGATCGAAGCAGCACACACAGACCTTCCTGTGGATGTCACTCCATCAACGACCGAACAAATCAAGAGTGGGAAAGCAGAAGGACCTGTAAATATACCGGCTGGGACGCATTGTAGTGTCATTGATACTTCGTTCCGTTCGCCGATTTCTAGGCGATGTCGTGATCTCTTCAAACACAAGTTTTAAAATTATGCCAAACGAATTTATTTGTGTAGTAGCATACTGGATAACGCTCCCCTTCAACAAGGCACATATGGTATAGGATTTTTACGTCGACTTAAGAACTTCACAAATGCATTCGAGTACTGGTGTTTCAGTAGAAAACTTATCATTCCAACTTACATTCTCCTCACACTTCAGTAATTCTACAGAATAATGCTCTGTAGTCTGAAGTAAATTTTCCACTTTTTGTTTCTCTGCGTTCAGTTGGGATTCCGATTCACATATTTGAGTTTCTAAATTAATCTTAGAAACTTTAGATGACGATGCCTATGAAATAAATAAAAAGAGCAAGAATAAGCAAAATAAAGAACTGTTGACTAGTCAAATCAGATCACTACATTTTTATAGAGAATAAATAAGTGGAATTCATATCCTATTGGCATTACTTTGCGAAGCCTGTTTACAGAATCGACATTCTGCTGTAACTTACATCATTAAATTAATAAACCATATAGCACGGACGTATGTTGTTATATGTCTACCCAGTGACCACTTATATTCAAATGTAGCTTGACAATTTGGACAGATTCATCAATTGGTCAGTCTGGTTAGAAAAGAATAAAAAGTACAACCTACATGGATGCTATGTAGTTGGGATAAACGAGATGAGAGCATTTGACCAGTCGAGTCAGGTGGACCGGAGGCATCTGTCGACGATATTTCACCGGCATCCATAAGTTTTTTCGCAAACCGTTAATCTCTTGTGTTTGACATTGAATCGATTCAGAGGGACTGATCACTTCTGAACCAGATCAACCCAACAGCCAATAGCTTCAGAAATCGTTTCCTCATCTCGATGTGGAGAGTTGGTATTCTTTCAGTCTATTACTCTACTCACCAACGTCTCGCCTAAAGGGAGTCAGTAGTCGGGGCCTGCGTGATTATCGTGACCAATGGTTGGAAGAACAGGGTGATATAGTGTAAAGTTCAATACAGTGGCACAGATGCACTTACTACTTATCTTCCTTTCCATCTTTATTTTCAGTGTTCCTCCATATGTTCCTCCTTTGAGAATCATATGTCCAACATGTTGTCATTCATACTATCATTACTACTACTATGATATCAATTACTTAGCTATTTATCGACTTAATTTTGTCACAGTGTTGATTTAGTAGGAAAACGTGGACCAAAGCGAATCTGTATTTGAGTCTACATAGATTAAAACTAACTGAATTCATCAACTCCTAAAGATTAAATACTTGCTACGAGTTGACGGTCTACGATTTGATTCTTGAAAGTATAATATATGTACACTACTTAAAGATTACATACTAAGAAAAAACAGTTGTTCAGTTTGCTTATTGGTTTTCTAGATAAAAGCCAAATCATTTCAACTATCTCTACCTAGGTTTGTACCCATATTCTACAATATATCGACAGTACAAAAAAATCCTGGCTATCCAGATTAATATGATAGGCGATGAAGAGGAGAGTGAACATTACACATGTACTCACATTAATATCAGTCACTACCGTAAAAGGTAAACTGCATTCAGCTTCAACATTTTTAAATTCGTCATCCGTAGTAAACGGACTATTCTAAAGAAAAAAAGATGAACAAATAAAAATATCAATCAAGCAACTGAAATTATCCAAAATATTTAATGATACTGAGTATAAGTAAGTCCGCATAGAGCTAGTCCCGGTCCTTTAGAACCACAGTTGACCGTAAGCTTAACGAATCTACCTTGTGAAAAATAAGTCTACTGAAAAGAACGCCAACCACAGAAAACTAATTAGACCTTCAGCTGTGACTTGATGAGTCTTCATATAGAAGATTTATAGTGTCGAATTAGGGAAGTCGAGATTTTTCGAAAGCCAAGATGCCGACGCTTTTTCTGACAACCGAAAACAATGACGAATAAATGAACGTGGAATGTTTGAACAATGTGAGAAACGGAAACAATCTGGCTGTATTTGGAAGAAGCGAAACCCATTGAATATAGTCTGGGTAGAAAAGACAAACTTTAAAAAAGGTGTTGTCTTATTATGGTCATGAAGCACACGATGCTTCCCACAAATGGTTTACACCATTGTCAAAGCCAGGCAAAGTTTGCAACAGAGCGTAACTGAAACGAGCGAAGGATTCAGTAGTAACTCAACCTAGAGACCAGCGTGAAGACTTTTATAAGTATCGATTACGTACGGGCCGAATCGAGATA